ATAAGCCCTGACTGGCCAGCTGACCATTAATATAAGCCCTGACTGGCCAGCTGACCATTAATATAAGCCCTGACTGGCCAGCTGACCATTAATATTAAAGCCCTGACTGGCCAGCTGACCTTTATTATAAGCCCTGACTGGCCAGCTGACCATTATTATAAGCCCTGATCCATGATCTAAAATATATATCCCCATCCTCACTTGGTTCATCTAGTATGAAAATAGTGTAATTATCATTATTTCTGGATTTTAATGGTAATGGTATGCCAACTCTCTTAACTGTTTTTCATACAGGATAATGTGAAAGCTGATGTGTGTCTGACAATGGACAAGGTAAAGCAAGCACTGGATCAGATGAAAGGTGCTGTTATGATAGTATATCCCATGGGGCTTCCTCCACATGATCCTGTTAGAATGGAACTGGAAGATCAGGAGGATCTCTCAGGCACACAGGTATATATATATGCTGCATTCAAAAACAGTGTTTCATTCATTTTGGCTATATTTATTAGCTTTTCCGTCCATATTGCAAATGAAATGCTGCAAGTGGGGGGGGGGGGGGGGGGGGGGCATGAAGTAACATTTCAGTTTTTGTGGTTGCTACTGTTACAGTACATATTGTTTGCTTAAAGTATGTATCTACATGCAATTTATTTGTTATAGTGTAGTTGACCAAAACAATAATGACAAAAAGTTCACCATATTAGCGACAGGGAAATCAGGCAATGCATACACTGCCATCAATCATAGTATGTAAAGGTACCTGACAATTTATCTGTGATAGCAGTGTAATGCCTGATTGCCGTTAAAATAATGTTATGGATGTTGTCTCCATCAGTGCATAGCAATGAAAACATAATAATAAGCAATTTATGGACCTGGTTTAGCAAGATATCAGGATTTATTAGTGGCAAGCAAGCAATTATTTGTTGCTGACAAAGAAAGAGGCAAATGAGTGTCTGCAAGGCACTAACAAATCACAGTATTTTTTTTCTGTTTTCTTTTCGTGCCTTGGTTGATTTTGGTATCTTTCGAACAATCATGTACCAAGTTCAGGAAAAAGATGCATGTTGAAAAATCCATGACCATATGAGCAGACAATAGCCAATCTGCATTATGACGTCATGCGCACATGAGTGGAGTGGTAGTAAAGACGGGAATATCTAAACAATATAATGGCTGTCAGCAATGCGAAAATAGAACAAAAACAAAGCTCTCAAAGGGATATTCTGACAGAATTTGATGTCCCCAGGGCTTCGTTTCACTGAAAAAAGCCTGAGCTTTTCCATAACAATCAACTTAAGCGCTGGCTTAAGTGTCGTGGCGCTTCAGTAGATGGAAATTGAACTAAACTACTCGACAGGTGAGTGCATTTACTTTAGCTGTTCACTTATACCTTATTCATTGTTATAGAATTCAAACGTATCAAAAGAAAGGGTCTAATAAGATTTWAGACCCTGATGGAGGGATCCACTTACAAAGACTTAGACTTAGACAAAAACTACGTTCCAACTCTTCAAGCACTGATCAGCGAATCGATTGGCCGTAGTGATGGCTGGACTTTATTGCTTGCACAGATGCCTGAATTTCATCAAATTGCTACATTTTTGTGCACTTGGGTGGAGATGTGCAATCTAATATTGTTAAACTTTGCCGTGGAGCTTTCAAGAGTAAGAGAGATGGTTATAAACTCATGAAGGCCAACCATGTAACTAAGGTGAAATTCAATGCTTCATCCCACGAAAATGTTTGTTTTTTCAACAGCCGTGTATATTCTGATGAAAGTGACTTACAGGATAACACATTCAAAGCCACTTGTAAACAGTTCTTAAATAACATAACCATTACATATGATGAAGTGTCAGATATTGAAGAGATAACAAGGGGCCAATCAGAGAATCAAGAATGGTTTAAGTTTAGATGTGGTAGAATTACTGCATCTAGATTTGGTGAAATCAGAAACAGGCGCCGAACAACAACACCAGACCGCATTGTAAGAGATATATTCCAGATTATCCCAGAGATTCTGACTCAGGTAAAACAAGGAAAACCTCTTCAAGCTTATTTGTATATAAGAAGTGATTTCACATATATAACAGTTTACAAAACATTTCAATTTTCTTATGTTTCCAAATTACTGAGCAACATATTGGAATAAGTTATTTCAATGAATTACTGTATAATCCCTTTGTTTTAAACCATGTAAAAGTTGTGTTGAACAAAACATGATTGAACAAGATGGAATCTAAACAATATTGAATATTCTTTTAATAATTAGAATAATAATGATAATAATGAATAATAACTGATTGTTTTAATAATTAGAAAAATAAATGATCAACTATTACTTGTTTTTAATTATTTCAATTTGAAAGTGACCTAATGAAGACAATTGAATACAAATATAAACTGAATAAGATGACAATACATATAGCAGAGTGCTTTCATTATATCTGTGAAACACTTTGTAAGAAACTGTACTAATTTTAACAATTTTATTTGCAAACTTTTTCAGACATAATTATAGTGAATGCACTCTAGCATGTAATTTTAGACTTAGTTGACCTGATGATATTGCCACAATGGCAATGGACCATTGTCAATAGTCATTATCACACTACAAGGTTGCCTTATAAATTAGTTAAATAAGAGCATACTTTCCATATCTTGTTAAGGTCTTCTGCCATTGAATTGGGAATGACCTGATTTAAAATGTTATATTCTTGATCCTTTCAATTGCCCTTTCCACTTTTTTACAGCAGAAATTTCTCTTGTTTCTGTTTCTTCCTCTCGGTCAAGCCTGTCTTTGCAACGCATTAATGGGAGTATATTCAAAGTGCAGCCATATGTCATAAGCAAATCTCTGATTTAAAATCCCCGATCAGCCATGACTGAGTCCCCTTCTTCCAATCTTACCAGAATTCCAAGTGATTCCACAATCTCTTTATCACTGGCATGCCCACCATAAACGTCAGACACAAAAGTTGCAGCTCCAAAAGGTGCAATTCCAACGAGCCCTTTAGCAGTATTATGGCTCTTGTAGGTTGAGTATGTCTCACTTTGAGCTCTAAAACATGGAGGCATTTTGGATGAATAATTCTGTGCAGTCAAGTAATAGGATCATTCTTAAAACTCTCAGGCTTAGTTTTATCTTCAACTGTTTTCCTTGAAGCCCTTACTCAAGCTTAATAAATCTTGTGTAAATGAAATCTAGATTTGTGGCAAAAATTCTGCAAACCTCTGATACACTTATTCTAAAATTATCAGCTAGCACTTTTTCAGCCATGTTGACTCTCAACCTACTAGCAAGTGTCATAAATAATTCATCTGCTGGAAGGAGAGAGCGTTTCTTTCCACGTTTTTCAATATCTTGAAAATTCTGGTAAGAATTGTTTGAACCCCAATAATTAAGCCTGGAGATTGCACCATTGTCACCATCCAAAAATTCGTACAAAGCCTTGAAAAACCTGTAGTTTTCTAATCCTGTGTAATATAGCATATCTGAATCAGACATGGAAAATCACTCCACTCCAAATCGCTCTATCTCTATCCTTTCCAATAACTGCAGTCTCTCGAGATCTAAAGCCCTCAGATTTTCCTCTAACATTACTATTTTCTGTAGATTATCCTCATAGTTCGAAACAGAAGCAGTCTCGTTCGTGGGAATGTTTTCTTCATCGATTGCTTGCTTATTTCCCCTGACAGTAATCCTTTTCACATGTCGAATCAATTCTCTTCTTGGTTCTCTTTTTGGAGTAACATGCATGGGACTTAGACAGTGGAAAGATAGTAGGTAAATTGTTATTGTATGTTTTAGTACCTCCTTCGAATTGCTCAGAGCACACTCAATAGCCAGAAATCCGGTCATTCTTGGGCTTAAAGCCTTGCCTGGAGATCTTGTGGAGTCACAATTTTCGAAGCTTTTTGTCCTTCGGAATAACATAAAATGACAGGCGACCTTTATCTTTCTTAGAGTTACTGAAACAACCTGGTACACAGCAAGAAAATCCACCAACTACCTTCTTAATCTTAATTACTACCCTCCGCCATTATGTAATTGCTTTACTACTCCAATAATTCCTTGCGCGTGTGACGTCATAATGCAGATCAGCTATTATTTGCAGCAAAATGGCTTTGCGCCATAATAAGCATAAGTAGAATAATATTTGTAGGCAGTTATCAGCAGTTATCTCAGCCAATCAAAGCAATAATCACACTTGTCTGATTATTCTCTGTTTCTACGGTGTAGGCGTCATTACAAGTTTTTGAGGAACAAACTGCTCAGTTATGGTGGGCAGGAAAGGACTTGCAGCGTGACAAGAAGCTACAAGATTATATTGGAAAAAATGAGAAAACCAAAATAATTGCTAAACTTCAAAAGGTTAGTCGTAAAACATTACTCTACATCTTTATTGGATGTTTGTGAGAGTTCATGTTTTTTACTTTTAATAATTTTGCAATATAGTGGTGCCAGAGCCGTTACATTTTGTTGTCCAAGAGTATGTGGCTAAAGTCGTAAAAGAAATTTAAATTGTTCTTTATATACAATATATTATTGATCCTTTGATTGATGAAAATTAAGTATTCACCTTTTTCACATTCCCCATATTTTCTTTTCATTGTTGGGGGATTAACCTTAACCAGTTAACTACATATACGAAAAATAAAAACTGTCAGAAAATGTAATTCTAGTCAATCAGATATTTGCCTCGTAAGTCTCTTTTAGAATTATACAAACAAGATTTTTTTCCCTGCGCTTGCAAACATTTTCAGCTACACTGATAAAGGTCTTTGTGTAGACCAAAACCTCTGTTTAAAATTTGTAAATTTCACAAGTCAGAGACAACTTTAAATCATAATGAAGTTTTTGTTTGGACTTGGTAGTCAGGGACAGTTCAGAAATTAGAGGGGGGAGGGCTTGTGAATTGTATTTTTGGCCTGTATATTTTTTAGTGGCCCTCCCTTTCCGTATATATTAAAAAATTTGGCGCTCCTCTAAATACTGGCCCTCCCCTCCCCCATAATTTAGGCTGACCTTGTTTTTAATATAGCAGTAAACGAGTCGCACATCTTCCTGATCTTGTTGTCACAGTAGTAGTCATTCTACTATCAAACTCTTCTGTGTCATCTCTATCATCAGAACTTTTTTCTTCTTCATCAGTATCTGAGCAAAGTTCAGCCAATATTTTTTCTTTCTCACAACTGATAAAGATAATCCAGATTCTCACTCCCATCCGTGTCAGTGTCACTGCCAGGCTGTCTGTAGTTGTCCCGTCTATTTTGTTCACTGCATGCAGATTGTGTGTTGTATGCATCTGAACTGTATTTAGTTTAACCTTCCTTTCACCACGGCACTGCAGTTGATGTAACTTTAAATACTTATCTAGGACAGCTACAGTTTGTTTGCTTAAAGAGCCATCATCAAGCCATAACAATCCAGTTGTAGTCTTCATATTTTTTTCCAGCCTCTGCAGATTTCTTTTCAGYTTTGTCTTCCTTTCTTTTTTCTTTGTTGTGACAGCATAATTCATTTTTTACATTTCTTTTGACCTAATTTTTATGCACAAAAAAGTTTGGCCCTCCCCTTAAGACTTTCACAATTCTTTCTGGCCCTCCCTTTTAGCCTGCACGATAAATAATGACCCTCCCCCATTTACACCAGCCCTCCCCCCTCTAATTTTTTACCTGTCCCTCAAATCGGCAAACAGATGTCAGCTTGTGATGAAAGACAAACCGAAAGACCAACTGCCTTATTTTCAAGAGGACACACTTCCTGTCGAAAGGTTCTGAAATTTCCCAGGATGCATTGCAATACAGACTTGTGAAAAATCGAGTAGTAACGAAACTGAGTTTTATTTCATAGAAAGGGCAAGGTGCTCCAGCAAGAGAACAAGTGATAAGCGAAGAAGAGAGAAAACAGATGATGCTGCATGCCTATAGTAAACAAGAAGAGTTGAAGGTAAAACATGGATCTATCACTCTGTGTAATATACTCAGGGCCCAAAATAGCGGCCTGCCAATGGCCAAATGACAGACCAAATGTCAAGTTTTGCCGGTGAAAATAATGATACACTGCCAAATGAATAATAAAATGACATGCAAAATTTACTGGAATAACCTCCTTTTAGCATGCTCCTTTACTATGGCAGGCTACAATTTTTTACTATTTCGAACCCTGATAATACACCTGTATATGGTTTTGGGTGGCGTACCATGGAATGTCTTATGGACCACATCATTTTCAAGTATACACCTATTTCAAAAAACGTCGGTTGGATTTCTGAAATCAGAAATCTGAGACCGATTGGAATTGTGGGGAACTGAGTGTTTTCTCGTTCAAAATTCAATATACACTTACCCAGATCAAAATCAGTATATCAAGATATTAACTTTTGCGAACCACTAATTAAAACCACAAGCAATTTACAGCTTACAACCCACAATTCCTTTTGGTCTCAGATTTCAGATCTACCGACAACGTTTTTTGACATAGGTATATGCATATAAGCCTTCAGATTGTTGTATTTGCCAAGAAAATTAATAACTATAAGTCGCAAGTGGGATATTCTATGGTGTAATCATTTCACAAACCTTACAACGTTTTAAATTCCAATTCAATCTGTAATTTAGCAACTTTCATGTTTTGGTTTGGTAGGCTTTTGAAAGGTACCTTTTGTAGAGTGTCAATAGTTTATTGATTAGTTAAGGTTTTTTTGTTGATGTTCAGATGGGAGGTTGAGGTTGAGGTAAGCTTATGAAGTGTGGTTTTTAGTAGGTTAGGCGAGTCTTTCGAGTGAAAGCGTCTGCGAATGCTCTATGTCCGTTTGAACAGACATAGACCATTTTCGAGTTCCAAATTACCGCTGTGTTCCTTGATTACGAACTCATTTCTAAATCTTCACAAGTACCAACAGTAAAGTAAAGAACGCATAACTTCAACAATACATACACTTTGTCTAATTCCGCAGAACCTTCACTGGAAGACAAATATTCTGCACAAAATCGATGCTAACCTTGAGCAACAAAGAACTCGAAACTGGAGTATTGTAAGAGTTGTAAAAGTACTTCCCAGCTAGTAAAAGTATTAGACAATCAGAAAAGAGAAGATTTGCAATCCTGAAATGTATCTTTTACTCTGGAAATCATAGATTTCCAGGCCGCCAAACGAAAAAGAGTAACATTAACCGATTGTACAAATAATTAATGGAATTTACATTTTCATTGCAATGGCGGGCATGTTTTTATTTTTCGCAGGTCRATTTTCGCTGTAACTGTATGACCACTTTTTTTTTTTTTTGCAGAAACTTGAAACCTGTAATGATGACAACTATCTAAACTCTGCTTGGGCTGATCCTAACTCACTCAAAAGACAATTTCAGGGTGTGAGTGATGTGAAATGGAGACCTTGAATTTTAAATGTAAAGATATAGGACTGTGAAGGCAATACAAAACACCAAACACAATTGCAATGACTTTGCAATAACTTTGGGGCAGAGAGAGGGAAAGAAACACAAGAAGTGGAAGAATGAATTAAAACCTTACCTTCCAATTCTTCCAGCTTTCCTTCAATCCCTCTAAATTTGGCAACAAACTAGTCTACTGAAGGCTTGATTTCTTTAATTAATGTAATCGATATGAAATTATGTGTTGTTCATTATTTGCTGCTTTGCGAAATGTTGTAAGGCATGGAAAAGAGATGGTGTGTATTCATGTATTTATCTAGTTGACTTACAGAAGTTTCATGTAAACTGGTACTGAACAACCTTAGTACAAAAGATTTGCATTTATACAATTATTTCAATAAACGTTGTCGGTCGGAGATCTGAGACGGGCAAATTAATTTTGAATAAGAAAGAAAATTCGAGAAATATTTTGGTACTGGTAGTAAAATGACACCATCTTCCAAACGGCCCATTGCAAAATCATTATCGAGTTCAAAAGCTGAGACCGAGAGGTTTTCTGGGAAATGACATAACTATATTTCAGATACAAAGTCGATCCACATATGAAACATGATAAAAGCCTTCATGCTTTCTGTCAATGCCACAAAAGACCTAATTACCTTCAAATGTAAATTGCCCATTTCAAAACATGTGGTGTTTACATGATGTCCTCTGGAGAAATGTTTTCATATCCACTTGAATATTAACGAATAAATTTCAGAAAATAAAGGAACAATTGTCAGGAACATCACATGGTTTGAAATGGGTAATTTGTATATAAGGGTAATTAGGCCTATTTATGAACATTCTACGTGTTATATCACTAAAGAGAGCTAGCAGGGCCGTAGCAAGGGGAGAGGCTAGGGGGATGCCGCCTTCCCAATAATTTTACAACTGCTTTGGCTAAGATTTAAGATGTCATAAATGTAGCACGGGGCGACAGAATTTAGTGGTAAAAAGATACATTATTACATTACGAAGCTGGCGGTGTCTTGATCCATAATATATACAGAATACTACGGTGACTCCTAAGGTGCCACCTATGAGGAGCTTCTTTTTTTTGCGTTGCCACTTTCGTTGCGCCTTTCGTTGCCACTTTCTTTGTCACAGCACTCACGATATTTAGAAGCATCGCGGGCTCATGTATTCCCTCGTGCCGCAACAGTGAGTTCTAGATCGCGAAAGAGAGAGCTTTTATGTAATATTTTTGCTAATGTTTTGGTGTGTTCCGTGTGCCTTGCTTCTTGTTGCAACAACTGAGGCAGTAATACCTAGAAACGAAGCAATCAAGAGCTATTTTAGCCTCATGGTTTCAGCGCCTCTGAAAGGGAATGTGTCTGTAATTCAGCAGTTCTTTAGGAGGGCAGCAGGGGACGATTTTGAAGGACACAAGAGTTTTATGTATGGACGTTCAACAGCGTTGTAATTTATGTCTTACCTCACATAAATAACACTCGCGATTACTTAACAAGGGTAGAGGTTGACGAGATTGATATAGCTGAAGAGTTTTCTGTGAGAGGTTGTTCAGGGTGTTTCAATGAATTAGCAGAACTTAATTATTATGGAAGATGAATGACTAGAGATGCCAGATACCACTGATGAGGCTAAAAATTTATATATTACTCTGCTTGGATTGATCGATGACTTGCAGTGATTGAAATTTTGAAAGGTCAATTTAAATAAACACTAAAATCCATTTTGATGCCAGTGTTGCCTACTTTGCAGGTAAAAAAAATTTCAGGTAAAAAAATAAAGCTTTATTAAGACAAGGAGAAACCCCACACTATTTATGGAGAATAATTTAGTGCCAGGTGCACATTAGAAAGATTTAAGTGAGGAAATTACCTATTCACCAGCCACTGTTGCTAGGGGTGAGGTTTAAAAATCTCTAGGTTTCCTAATGTTTTGAGTTCATACATCAAACCAGTTTTTGAATCACTTTCATCACTCTTACGTAATCGGTGATGGCATATTTCATAAAAAAATTAAAAAACAAGCATACGTTTGGTCAAATTGGCTTAAGAATGATCACAATTATAGCTGAGAAAAATTGGAACAAGGGTAATTATGTATTTTACTGTAAATTAAGAAATGTAAAAGATATCTAAATTTGAAATTTTGAACCCGACTTGGCAGCCAGGTTTTTTCATTGTTTTCAAAAAAAAAAAGTACTTGACTTTATTCCAAATTATGTCAACAACCATTTCTCTTATTTATGGGTCAAACCAACATAATCCATGCTTGATTTTTAATTTATGAAATATGACATCGTCAATGGGAGTGATGACGCTATCACACATCGGAAAATAATTCATTTCACAAATGGGTCTTCTGTATGAACTCAATTTTTTAGAAAACCTCCCAACAGTGGCTGGTGAATAGTTAAGTCATGTTTCAGTTTTATAAAAAAATTGCAGCACTATTAAGCAATTGTCTCATTTTGACATCTGTGCATGGAATGGACCTTATGAGCTTCAGTGGCAAGTAATTTAACCTTTTCAGTTTGTCAGTTCCGGGAAATGCAATTTCATGCATGCTCACTCATAAAAATTATAAAATAATTGTGTTTTGGTTCAGGATCTGTGCTTAAACAGAGCAAACAGCATGCAGGCATTTTATAAAGAATAAGGAAAACTTGCTGTGCCGTGCGTATTTAGAAAGCACTTGGGAACTGTCAGAACACTTAATTGAGAAGTGTTGAAAAGCACTCTTCTTAAGTAATTGATTGGTTTCAAACAATGAAAACATGTTTGATCTAGGTCCTACTGTTGAATTAGTGAAATCATTTTTTGTCCTCTTTCAAGATATAATCATGTGTGTTATTGAAAAATATGCTTTCTTGGTTAATATGACCTACCACAAAGTTTAATTAAGAGCTCTCTCTGAAAAGAAAAAAGAAAAGGGCCTGCAACTTACGTGCTTTCAGAAAAACCTACTGTAATTGCTGTTCAGTGGCAGGTATATATCATGATTGGTCTGATGATAGATAATCTGGTCTGATGATAGAGGTACAGTTTAATTGTATACTCCAAGTATCTTTCATTCAGATTTGACTATAGAGCTTTCATACAGTAAGACAAATTCAACAAGTTCTATAAGTTCAAGATGAGTTAAATTAATGAAGACATAAAAAGGCAGCAAAATGATAATAATAAATTTATTATTTCATAAAATTTGATGTTAATTGAAGGGATGAAAATGAAAATGGCCTAAGTGACTTTTTGGGATATTTTWAAAAAAATAGCCTAAACCAATATACCAGCAAACAGCCTCTTTTAGTTTAAATATGAATGTTTAGTATTTATTTTTCATGATTTTGATCGGAAAAGTAGAAAAACGCTCCTTAGTTACGCATTGGCTTTGCTTGACAACCGATCATTCGTCCGTGAACTAGTGTATATTTGCATATCACTTTATTGTACCTATTGACCAGAAACTCTTTCATCAACATTTGTATAGACTTCATTTTTCAAAACAACAGTTCATGTCATAATTATATGTTCTTTCGGAAGATCATCATTTATTTCTGGTTAATTGAATTAATTAAGTACTTTTGGAAGGTCATTTAGTTAAATCAAATAAAAATGTCAATGGACACTTTGCAAAAAAGCATTAAACATGAACAAGAACTTCTGTAGCAACATAACTCAATGTGTACAGTTTGAAATGTCTAATAAAAACAATAATGAAAATTTCAATGCACACGTAAAAAATAATTCGACATATATGAACAGGTACTTCAGTTGAAAATAACTACAGTAACATCGACAGTATACTCTCTACCCTTTCTTGTGTTAAATCCAAATGTACAAAAGAGACAACAGTGCTTAATTGCCCTACTTCACTATGACGTCACATCAAAACAATATTCAACAATCTATTGTTTAAATGCAAAGGATCATGGTCGTCGGACGGGGTCAAATCAACGCAAGCTAACCGAAAATTGTTCTAAA